ACCCAGGCGCGCGCCACTCACTTGTTGCGCGCGGCCCGGGCGGGTTCCTGACGGCGCCGCGGACGCTGCGGCTCCCGGAACTGAGCGGGCGCAGGCTTACTTCCTAGTCTGGATTCGAAAGGCAAAAAAGCCGAGGCCGATGGCTCGGCCGGCCCTCGGGCGGGCACGGGGCACCCGTTCCTTCGCTTTGGCCGTCTGCGTTGGTCTGTGGTTCCCAGAGCAGGCTCGGCTCTCGGACTGGAGCTCAAACCCGAGCCTGGCAAGCGTCATCGCCTAGGCTGTGACCTCGATCGGGGATCGGAGTGTTTGGAGGAAGAATACACCCGTTCTTGAAAAGAATCACTTGGGGTCAGCGATAGTTTGTTTCTGAGAAGCGAGATTGGCAAATCTCTATGTGAAGATATCTCTCCATACAGCCGAGAGTAAATCTACTCCACTTATCTGTTGCCCTAATAGCAGAGGGGGTATAAAGGGCCCTAGAGGATGAACCATTTTCTTTTCTTAGAATGTTAAGGGTCTGAAAGAACTGTCTGTTTTTCTCTTTCTAACCTAAACATATCCCTCTTAGTATTGAAGCCCCTAAAGAATTGCCTTGTTCTACGAAACCAAACCCGTGGTTGATTTAGAGGCGCCTGCTTTATGTTTGAAAACTACTAACTACTCTTCCAGCCCTGGGTCGAAAAATATTAGTGACCTAGTTCCTCTCCTGGCTGTTAGCTGTGCACTTCAGATGTTTTGATTAGGAAGCAACAAAGGGAAGAAACTGGAGGAAAGAGAATTTTAGGTTTTTAGTTTTTAATTTTTTGGTTTTGTTTTGTTTTAGTGGAAACAATGTAATGGAATCTTGGTATTTGCTCAGTGACAGGCTTATTGCCTTTTCCCAAACTTGAAGCAAAGGTACAACTTGAATGTTAACAGTACAAGACTATTGGCCAGTGTATTCTCTCTCCCACACAATTTTTTTTTCATTGAAATATAATTCACTTATCATGAACTCAACTTTGGATCACTGAAAGCAGATTTATTTTTTTAAAAGTTTTTTAGTATTTAAAATGAAGGCTCTTGGAATTGAATTGATACCGAGATGGCACTAGATGCATCAAGAACTATAGAATATTTGGTCAGTAAGGTGTTTCATAAAAAATAGCCTACCGCTTCCAATCCATATCTGGTTTCTTGAGTAATTGTGATAGTTACATGCTTGCAAAAGCATTAGAAATGCTTTTCAGCGTTGGCCCTGGGTGGTAGAAGAAAACCCTCTGTTGGTCCAGTGATGGTGGCATCTTTTGCCTGCATTTTGTAAGCAAAAGGTGGATAGTATATGTGATAAAAGATTTCCTGGATGTTTGCCAGTGTTAAATGTAAAAAAATAAGATACAAATAAAGTAAGTTACTATTGTTTAAAGCTAAGTTATTTTTTTTTTATGTAGTGATCCCTAGCCAGTAGGATTTATTTCTTTATTTATGTGTCCTATCAGTTTGGTGCGTGCAATTATAAATTGGGCATATAATTCAAGGCACAGTATATCTAAACAGCTGTATTTGAATGTTGTGAAATAGCAGTATTATAGCTTGCAGTATTTGTCATAAGTTTCTTTTAGAATGAATTACACATTCTAGGCTCTAAGTATTTGGCCCAACAAGTTTTATTTTTCTGTTTTTCTTTGAGAAAGGTCATATGTAACCTAGGCTGGCAATATATAGCCTTGGATGAATTTATTTACAGTTCTCCAGCTTGGATCTCCCAAGTCCTAGATTACAGGTGTTTGCCATGTGTGGTACAACTGAGAAGCACCCCAGTTCCTTAAAAATTTAGTAAGCTTTGTTTATTCTCTGAAAAATTTGCAAGTTAAGAAAGATAGATTGAGCCGGATGGTGGTAGTGCATGCTTCTTTAATCCCAGCAAGACCTGGTCTACAGAGAGAGAGAGAACGTTTTTATTCCATACACTCAGTCTTTTTTTGAGATTATAATTCATTTTTCCCTTCCCTTGTTTCCTGCTCTCACACTTTCCCGCATACCCCTCCCCACTTTCCTTTAAATTCGTAGCCTTTTTTCATTTCATTCATATGTACACATATATATTTATATATAAATATATATAATATATTAATATATTATATATAAATAAATATAAATATATAAATATAATATAAATATATATTTCTAAATATAGCCTTTTCAGCCTGTACAATATTATTTGTATGTAAGTTTTCAGGGCTGACCATTTGGCACTGGACAGCCAATTGGTGTGCTCTTCCCTAGGGAAGACCTCTTATCCGGATCCCAGCTTCCCTCATTTGTCTCACTTCTTTGTGTTGGGTTGAGGCCCAGTGGGCTTTTCCCAGTCCAGTTTGGCATGTCCAATGTCATCCTTGTTCGGTTAGTCATGTTGGTGAGACTTCATGAGTATAGCTTCTGACATTACCGGAGACAGTCTCAGCAAATTCAAAATCTTTCTACCCCTTCAGTGTTCCCTGAGGCTTAGGTGCAGGGATGTTTTGTAAATGTATCCATTGGTACTAGACTCCACAACAAGTAATGAAACTTTTTTTAATGTTTATTCATTTATTAATCAGTGGAGGAGACAGTATGTGTGCCATGGTGAGTGGAGGTCAAAGGGTAACTTAGAGAAATTGGCTCTTTCCTTCACCATGTGGGTCCCAGGGTTTGTATTTATGTTGTCAGGGTTGGGTATGTAAATAATTTTACCTTCTCATTGGTCCTTTGTTAACTAATTTAATTATTTGTATTTGGAAAGGAATTTCACATTTCCTTCTCTTTCTGGTTTTTACCTTTTAATTGTTTCCTATTCTCCCCACCTAGTACTAAGAATTGCCCTAAGATCTTGAGCATGCAAGGCAAATAGTATATATAACTGAACTATAACCTTTTGAAAAAGTTTTATTTTAGACTTTGAAAGAGGGTCTTACTAAGTTGCTTTGAACTTGTGATATTTGTGCTTACTGACACAGGATTATGTTGCTTTCATTTATTTTTGACAGATTGGGGGCAGCAGGCAGACTCTCAAGTAGCCCAGGCTAGCCTCAAATTCAGTATGTAGCTGAGGGTGACATTGAATTGATTCTTTTGCCTCCTGTATAAATACGGGACTCTATGGGCTAGGGCTGTTCTAGCCGATGGTTGAGGTCATGCCTAGCCCTCCAAAGAAAACTTACAGAACCTTTTGCTCACAGAAATAGAGACCATACTCTTGAATATCTTCTAAGTAAAAATATTTTTTGTTTTGTATCAAAAATATTTGATTATCTGAATTTTGAATTTAGAAGTTATATAATTTAATGCCTGAAATTTATGTCTTCTGAACTGATTGTGGTAGAACTTGATTTGTTGACCAAGTTGACCTTGAACACAGAGATCCACCCGCCTCTGCACCTTGAGTGCTAGGACTAAAGGTGTGCACCACCATGCCTGGTCATTACTTCTTAGAGTAAACTTGTTGGAAATGTCTTTAATACTAACAATACAAGAAATAGTTATGAGAAAAATGAGAGTTATGATTGTACTGTAAGAAGTTAGAGAAGCAGAAACTTTTCTTTTTTTTTGAATATCTCATTTTTTGTGTGTATACACATTCATGCAGGCGCTCACTCTTGCATGAATGGTATCTTGTGGAAGTCAGGACAGTTGAACTGAAATCAGAACTTTCTTTCCACCATCTGGACACTGGCAGTGAACTGGGTTGGCAGGCTTGTGCTGCAGCACCTTTATCCACTGAGCCGCCTCCCAGGCCCCATTTTGTGTTTTGAGGCAAAACCTCACGTAATACAGGCTAGCCTTGGAACTCCTGATCCTCCTGCCTCTGCTGCTTGACTGCTGTAATTACCGGTGTGAGCAACACCCACCTTAGGAAGTCTGAGGTTGCCATTCAAACAGGATGTGAGGTAATAGGATCTGCAGTGTCTTAGCACAGAGCTGATTTAGGGCACTAGTGGTTGAAGGATTTGCCTCTTAGTAAACACAGCTGTCAACAAACATGCCTCCTGGGCTGGATTTAACCTGCCAATTCTCTGTTCTGAAACTGTTCTCTAAGGCCCTCAGTAATTTTTCTTTGGCTGTGTATAAGCTTTGTGCCTGCAGTCTCAGTGCTGGTGAAACTGAGTGAACAAGATGACTTAGGCCCTGGAGTGTGAAGACAGCCTGGGCAGAATAGTAAGATACAGTCTCCAAAGACAGCTCCTGCTTGTGATCCCAGCACGTGGATACTTGAGACAGGAGGACTGCCTGAAATTTGAACAGCCTGGGCTCTGTGCTGAGTTTTAGGGCATCTTGTGGGGAGGGATTATTTCTCTTACATTATTCAGCGCACATTTATATAGTGCTTATTGGCACTTTTTGAACCAACTTAATAAGGAAACTGAAATATGCCTTCGGTCATACATACTAGGCAGATTTCCTTCTAGAATTTGGGAGGGGACGGGGTTGGGCAGGGTCTCATGGAGCCCTGGTTGATTTTTTTTTTTTAAAGATTTATTTATTATGTACACAACATTCTGCCTCCTTGTATGCCCGCACTCCAGAAGAGGGCGCCAGATCTCATTACAGATGGTTGTGAGCCACCATGTGGATGCTGGGAATTGAACTCAGGACCTCTGGAAAAGCAGGCAGTGCTTTTAACCACTGAGCCATCTCCCCAGCCCCCCCTGGTTGATTTTAAACTTAATATGTAACCAAAGATGAACTTGAATTCATGAATCTGCTTTTCATTTGAACTTGTGCTGGTAGAGCTTTTATAGGTAAAACTTACCTGGTTGAAAGATTGAGCAGGTAGGCTGATGAAATGTACTTATAGGGCCAGTAACAGAAATAAATAAGAGGCGAGAGAGCAAAAGGATTGGTTAAGACCATCTTGGGCCATATAGTGGGACCCCCCTTCTTCTCCTCCTCCTCCTTCTGCTGCTGCTGCTTGCATGTATCCCTGCAGGCCAGAGAGGTCGCCATATCTCATTATAGATGGTTGAAAGCCACCATGTGGGTGCTGGGAATTGAACTCAGGACCAGTGCTCTTAACTTCTGAGCCATCTCTCCAGCCCCTGGGACCCTTTCTAAAATTGTTATTCCTCAGGGGAACTGATGGATGAAATCATCATCTAGTAGCTTTGAGCATGTCCCCCAAATGTGAGCCCCTTGCTTTCAAATGAAGGTTATGTTTAGAAACAATTGATGCTTCAGAATTTAATTAGCAAAATAAAACTATGCTTCTAGCAAAGAGGAGTTCATACACAGATAACTTTAAAACTTTCCTTTATGTATATGGATATTTTACCTTCATGTATGTCTATGCCCTATGTGATGTACCTGATACCCACCAAGGTCAGGAGGGCATTGGATCCCTGGGAAGTTGAGGTACAGATGATTGTGGGCCTCCATATGGATGCTGAGAATTGAACTCCAGCCCTTTGAAAGAGTAGTCATTGTTCTTAAGATTGAACTGTCTCTCCAGTCCTAAAATGATTTTTCCCTCAAGTCAGGGTCTCACTATGTAGCTCTGGCTATCCTGGAACACACTATGTACACCATGATGGCCTTAGAGTCTTAGAAATCTACCTGTTCTGTCTCCCAAGTGCTGGGATTAAGGGCATGTGCCATTATGCTTAGCTTAAAATGTTGGGATGGGATTTTTTTGTGTTTTTGTTTTTGTTCTGTTTTGGTTTTATTTTTCTAGACTGGGTTGGGTTTCAAAGCTGGAGTGTCAGGCCTGGGCCATGTTGCCTGACATGTGTCAGGGCACTCCTGTTTTTGTTCTTGTTTTGTTTTTATTTCACGGATCCCTGTATGCAAGTATGTGCACCATGTGTGTGCAGTTTCCACAGAGACTTAAGAGGGCATAGGATCCCCTGGGAACTGGAGTTACAGGTGTTGGGAGCTGCAAGGTGGGTGCTGGGAATCAAGCCTGGTCCTCTGCAAGAGCAGCCAGTGCTCTAATGCTGAACCATCGATCCAGATCAAAATGTGTGTTTTTTTAAATACTATTTTTACTTATTTCTTTCTAAATCTCTTGAAAAGGGAAATAATGGTATTTTTGGATTTTTTTTATGTGGGGAAGGAAATAAGAGTTAAATTGTTCAGAAGCTACATAAAAATTTTTTTGATGATGGTTTTAGATTGTTCTACATATTAAGCTGTACCATCTAACTTTTCTTCCTTTCTTTTTTCCTTTCTTTCTTTCTTTTTTTTTTTTTTTTTTTTTTTTGGAGACAGTCTCGTGTAGCCCTGGATGTCCTGGAACTCACTATATAGACCAGGCTGATCTTGAACTCACAAAGCTCCACCTGCTTCTGCCTCCTGAGTGCTGCTAGAATCAAAGGGTGTGCACTGTCACGCTTGGCCTCCTAGTACTTTGTTTTTTCATTGGCTTTGGAACTCATGCTTTAAAATTACTTAAACACTGCAGGTTTTAAAATGTGCCACACATGGTTGCATGTTTTCTTGAGCCAAAGAAGCAAGAAAAAATAAAATCTCATTTATACAACTTTAAATTATGTTATTCTTTAAGATTCAAAATCATGGGTGATTTTCACATTTGAAAATAAAAATTTAAATCCAGGGATAGAGGTTTTGGTTAGACACGAGCAATGTGAGTTCCTAACGTCAGCAAAAAAATGAACTGAAAGAAAGTATTGATTCCATGTCTGATTTTATATTTAAGCAGCCAATGGCAAATGCCCTTAAAATGGAATCAGATGTTTGTAACTTAATACTTAAGAAAAATGATGAGTGCATGTTTTTTACTTTTAAGTATTCTCGGTGCTGCCTGGCTTAAGACATAAACTGATGTAAAAATAAATGACTGCCTGCATAATTTATGTAATGTCCTGCTCCTGATCCTGTTTGTATTGATTTTTCTAAAAGGCTTTTGTGGCCACAGGAACCAATCTGTCTCTCCAGTTTTTTCCGGCCAGCTGGCAGGGAGAACAGCGACAAACACCTAGCCGGGAATATGTCGACCTAGAAAGAGAAGCAGGCAAGGTAGGAAATATCTTTGCAATTTAAAGTATTGTGAATTGTTTTATTATTGTCTCATTACTTGCATTTTAATAAGAAGGTTATTAGTCTGACTACCCAGATGTATGGTCAGATTTGTTAAAAGAATGTAAAATGATTTTAATGACTTTTATAACATTTAATTCCTAATTATATATATAATAATTATCAAGAGGAATTCTAACTTACAGGAAAATATTCTACATTTAATATTCAAATTTTGATTTCTTTAAAAATTAGCACAGAATTTTTTGTGTCTACTAAAATATATTATGATAGTCTGAAATGAAGGAGAAAAAATGGAGGAAAACTGTATGTTTAAATTTTTTTTAAAAACTAAATGTTTATGTATTTATAAACAAGTTATAGGTATTTTGTTAATATAACAGCTGATTTTAAGAAAATCATAAGAAAACATCTACTTGAAAATATTTTCTATTTATTTTAAGGAAAACTTTCTGGGAATTCAAATAAATGTTTTACAATTTTTATGTTAGAAGTTGAGGTTAAAGTTATAAAAATATAGGTAGAAATGTTTACACTGATAACTTAAAAATCTATATTATGTTACTTGATAAAAATTTAATAAATAGTATTTTAGATTGATCTTTGATCAAAGAATCACTTTCAAAGAATAAAAAAATTTAAATCAACTTATTTTATAAACTTTTGTATCCAATTGTGTTTTTTTTTCCTGCTTTCTCTGTAGAATGGTTTTGTTGGTGTTGGGGGGTTTTACTTGTTTGTTTTTCTGGGACTTTGTTTTTGTTTTGATACATAGGGTCTCTTGTAGCAATGGCTGACCTAGAATTCTTTGATTCTTCTGACTCTACCTTGTACTGCCGGGGTTACAGGTGTGTGCCACCACACCCAGCTTTTGTAGTATGTTACCATACCTGTTTCTAGCAACTTGCTACATTTTGCTAAATTATTTTCCTAAGTGTCATCACCATCACTGTTGTGTAGCTTGGCAGATTTGGCCTCTTTAGTTTGGGGGCAGCTTTAGACTTAATGAATTCCAGGTCAGCCTGGCTACAGTGAGACTCTGTCTCAAAACAAAACAATGCTGGTCCAATGGCTCTGCAGGTAAAAATGTGTGCCGGCAACCTTGATCCTGATTTGGATCCTCAGAATCTATTGTGGCTGTTATCACAGGTTGAGCATTCCTACCACAAGGTGGGAGGTACAATCCAGAGGAACTGCCAGAAACTAGTGGATATCACAGTCACAGACACAACAGGAAAGACCCTGACTAAAAACAAAAATGGGAGGAAAGAGCAGGTCCTCTGGTGTTCAGACACATCTACACCCCCATCACACACAAATAATAAAATAACTCTTTAAAAAAATTGAAAAACAACAACTGAAAAGAATTAGCGGCATATAAACACTAATTAAAAGATTTCTCTTTTTAAAGATTTATTATGTTTAGTGTTCTGCCTACTTGTATACTTGCAGACCAGAAGAGGGCATCAGATCTCACGGTAGACGGTTGTGAGCCACCATGTGCTTGCTGGGAATTGAACTCAGGAACTCTGGAAGAACAGCCAATGCTCCTAACCCCTGCCCCATCTCTCCAGCCCCAGACTTATCTGTTTTAAGTATAATGAAAGACTTTGTTTAGATTTGTTTTTTTGTTTTGCTTTTAGAGACAGAGTTTCTCTGTGTGTAGCTCTGACTGCCCTGGTCCTGTGTAGACCAGTCTAACCTCTAACTCACAGAGATTCACCTGCCTCTGCCACCGAGTGCTGAGATTAAAATTGTGTGCCTTTGCCACCCGACTGGATTTGATTTTATTCAGTCATTTGCTTATTTTTTTTACTTATTTATTTACTAATTTATTTATTGGTTTTTTCGGGGCATGGTTTCTTTATAGCTTCGGAGCCTGTCCTGGAACTAGCTCTTATAGACCAGGCTGGCCTTGAACTCACAGAGATCTGTCTGCCTCTGCCTCCCCTAGTGCTGGGATTAAAGGTGTGTGCCACCACTGCCTGGCTACTCATTGTTTTTTAAATCTAACAGTCTTTCCCTTTTCACTCTAATGATTAGCTAGTTGCCTATAAAAGATCAAATCTAATCCAGGCTGTGGTGGTGCACACCTTTAATCCCAGCACTCAGAAGGCAGAGGCAGGTGGATCCCTGTGAGTTCAAGACCAGCCTGGTCTACAAGAGCTAGTTCCAGGACAGGCTCCAAAGCTACAGAGAAACCCTGTCTCCAGAAAACAAAATAAAACAAACAAACAAACAAACAAACGGAATAGTTGTTACATAGTTTTCTTTCTTGTGTATACTAACTTGCTTTATTGGAAAATTAAACTTACTACTTAAAATATGTTTCAATTTCAGTAGCAAATGATAAAACTGGTACAAGGTATCAAAATAATTTACATCTTACTAATTCTGGTTTTAGAAGTTTGTTTTTCTAAAAGAAGGACAGATGGTAAATATTTTCAGTTTTGCAGGCTTGTGTTCTCTATTGCAGCTTTTTACCTCTGTAGTTGTAGTGTCAAAAGAGCTGAACAGGTGAGTAGGGCTATATTCCAAGAATGTGGTAATGCTAGCCAAAAATCAGTATTTTTCTTTTATATATGAATTGTGTTTACATATAGATTAGATGACAGATCTTTCATCTATAGTTTTGCCAACACCTATACTCACCAAAAAAAAAAAAGGCAGAAAACAAACAACACCCTTTTAACCTATTGCTGCATAGCATACTGCTAAGGTAAAGTACTCCAGTTGATTTAAGAAAGGAATAATAACCTAGGTTTTCTCATCCATTGCATTCAGACTGTGGGATCTTATATTTTCTTTTTTCCTTTTTATGCTTTGTTATCTTTAGACTTTCTGTCTCCACAGGCCTAAGACTGACTACCAAACAATTTGAAGAATTTTCCCAAATGTTAATTATTTGCCAATGTTAGTTCTTATTTTTATCAAAGATAAAGATGATACCAAATGAGTATCATCTCATGTTTTTTCCACCTAGTTTGAACTCCTGATCCTCCCGCCTGTACTTCCCAAGTGCTGGGATTGCAGGTGTGTAAATTCCTTTGCTTTAACCTAGTTACCTTCCAATCCTCTTGTTTCTCTTGACTGGTAAGTGACCAGGAACATTTGCAGGTGGTGTTGGTAGAGAAGCAACCTAAAGAAGGATAGGAAACGATGTGCCATGGAGGCATCTAGGAGGAAACATTGTAAAGGACCATGTGCTGCATACTGTATAATCGACAAGCAGGCCGGTGTAGCTAGAAGAGACAGTAAAAGATGAGACAAGGGAAATAAAGGAAGGAGCTGATTAGTTTGACCACGGTAGACGATTGTAATGACTTGATTTTTTTTCAAGACAGTTTCTCTGAAGCCCTGGCTATCCTGGAACTCTCTCTGAAGACCAGGCTGACTTTGAACTCAGAGATCTGCCTGTCTCTGCCTTCTGAGTGCTGACTTTAAGGTGTGTAGCACCACCTCCTGAATTGACAGACTTTTTTTTAAAAAGGAATATGCTTTTATTATATTTTTATTTGTGTATATACATGTGTAAGGTTGTGGAAATCTGTTCTTTATGTTGAATGTAGGGATTAAACTCTATTTAGTAGGCTTCACAACAAGTGTTTTTAACCATTGAACTGTCTCACTTGCCCAAGTGAGACATTTTTTAGTTTTAAATTTCCCCTGGTTTATTTGTTTTAGTTTTTAAAGTCAGGGTCTCACATAGCTCAGACTGATTTTAACTTTTCTATGTAGCTGAGGTTGGCCTTGAACTTCTAATACTCTTCCCTCAGCCTCCAATATTCTGGGTGTGTGAACCAGTACACCTGGCTTGACACCGCCTTTTATTCTGAGTGAAACTGAGAATGATGTCAGGGTTCCAAGCAGATGAATGATATGGTTTGTGTTAGGTTTTGACAGATTCATTCTGTATTCTAGGTTGATAATAGATTGTAAAGGCCACAGTGAAGTAGGGAAACCAGTTTGGCTATTGAAGTAATCTTGGCAAGACGGTGGTGGTGCAGTGAGAGGTGAAAGTATTCAGAAATAAAACCATCTGAGTTTGTTTATAAATTGGATGTAGTGGGTGGGAAAGAGTGTGCTAAGAACAGCTCCACCTCTTTGGCGAGAACAACTGGAAATGTGGGGCTGCCACCATCTGAGATGGGAAGGGCTACAGATAGAGGAAAAAGCAGGTTTGCTCAGATTAAGACATGGGATGATTGCTTGCTTTTATAGCCTCTGTTTCCTTACTGCCTACTCTGAACTCCCCAAGCTAACTAACAAACTGACCCTTCATCTGTTTATCACAAGAGTTCAGTGACCTTTGAAAAGAATCAACTTTATTGAAATGTAGTGTAAATATAAAAAAGTGCACTACTTTAATAGCATAATTTTTACTTTAACAAATGTATACATACATATAGATGTACTGTGATTAAGGTAATGTTTAGCCACTCCAAAAGTTTTCTCAGGCTTCTTTACACAAATCTGGGATTGTTGTAGCTGTATGACTCTGGGTCAAGTTGTCTCTTGAGATCACATTCACATTGTTAGATAGGGCTGGACAGTCTCTGATGACTTGTCTAGAGCCAGAGGATGTACTTCTGAGCTCATATGACTTCTGTTTGAAGATGTGTGCTTTTCTGTGCTGAAAAAAATGAATGAAGTCACCATGCTTTTTATGACTACTTCTCCGAGTCATTTGTGTCTCATTTGGTTTATTAGCAGCTAGTCACTAAGTCTAGGCCACATTCAACAGAGAAGGGGATTATTACACTTGGGTATGAATACCAGGATGATGGGATCATTGACCATGTTGGAGCCCAGCCACAATAATAATCGTTAAATTTACTGAATTCAAAACAGCTTACAATGCTGGTAAAGAAGAAACTATTTTTTATTCAAAACAGTAGTTTTGTGATTTAAGAAAATGGCTTCAGAAAATAGCCCCTTTTATTCATTCTTTTGCTTTTGTGATAGCAAGAGTATTTTTT